AAAAAAAAAAAAAAAAAAAAAAATCTTTTAGAAGCTGGGTACAGTAGTTCACACCTCTAATTCCAGCATTTTGGAAGGTAGAGGCGGGAGAATTACTTGAAGCAGTTGGAGACCAGCCTGGACAACACAGCAAGACGCTGCCTCAAAAACAGACAAACACTGTCTATTGGCTGGGTGAGGTGGGTCGTGCCTATAATCCCAGAACGTTGAGAGGTTGAGGCTCAAAGGTTGCTTGTGCTCAGGAGTTCAAGACAGCCTGGACAACATGGTGAAATCCAGCCTCTACAAAATATACAAAAATTAGTCGGGCATGGTGGTGCGCCCCTATAGTCCCAGCCACTCAGGAGGCTGAGTGGACAACATGGTGAAATCCAGCCTCTACAAAAAATACAAAAATTAGTCGGGCATGGTGGTGCGCCCCTATAGTCCCAGCCACTCAGGAGGCTGAGGCGGGAGGATCGCTGAACCCAGAAGATCAAGGCTGCAGTGAGCTATGACTGCACCACTGCACTCCAGCCTGTGCAACAGCGAAACCCTGTCTAAAAACAAAAAAGAAAAATAAAACCTATTGGACTAGGCCAGGATCTTCCCTAGTTTCTAAAACCATGAGGACAACTGTGCTGCACCCGCTGCCTGCCAGATTTAGAGCGCTATAAATAGATACGATGTGTTTCTCAGGGTAACAGATATAAGACCGTTTTACCCCCAAAGACTTCAGCTTGTGTTTCCTAAAAATAAGGACATTTAACGTCTCAACAAATCTCTGAGGAAGGTCCTGCGTTAGCCCTCACGTTACCGATACGGAAACAGGCTCGGAGGTGCAAACTCTGGCTGTGTAGACAGAACAGGGGGTTTGAACTCGAGCTTAGTTAGGCCTTTCCTGGCTCTCCCATACCAGCGGGCAGGGAGAGACCCGGCAAAGAGTTGCACTTGCCCCCGGCGAAATCCCCAAAAGTCTGCAAAAACGTATTCCCTGGTACCGCTTTCCGCTCTGCTGTGACCAGCCAAAAATCCGAGACCGAAATGGAAGTGTGCTGCGGCCCCGGGCGCGGGGCTGGGGACGGCCTCCTCCTTGGTGGACGAATCGGAGGAGCGGGGCTTCCCCCAAAAACGCCCCAGCCCCAGCCCCAGCCCCACGTCCCCAGCTGACAGGGTGCGCACAGTGGGCGGGGCCTGGGATTCCTGGACTGGGGAGGGCCGCGCGTGTCCTTGGGCAGAGAGGGGAGGTGACTACGGCCGAAGAGGACGACGCAGAATGCTGGCCCCGCGGGTGAGGCCCCCATGGGCTGGGCCGGAACCCCCTACCCAGAAGCCCTCGCCCTAGTAGTACAGGACTCTCCAAGCACCCCTGCATTCCGGGCCTTGGAACGTGAGCCCCCCCTTCAGGGCCTGGGACTCCCTGCTAAAGTCGAGTCCCCTCCCCCACAATCCACGCTTCGGAGACAGCTGGGGACCCCCAGCCTGGCCCAAAGCCCTGGGTTTGAACTCACATCCCGAGGTGTTAACACTGGAAATATAACACCCTGTCCTCACCCGGGGCTTCTCTGGCAACCCGGACGCTCCCGGGGACCTCCATATTCCGGTCCCCACGCTTCTGGGATCTGGTTTCCTCCCTTTAATCCAGGAAACCCTCCCCGCAAAAACATCTCAGGACTTAGTCCTCCCAGAACAAAGTTCCTCTGGGTCTTCTCCCTTCCAGGCCCCTCTAGGCAGCCGGGTCCACCTCCAGGCCAAGTCCTTTCCTCACACAGGCTGGCAGTTCGCGTCTCGCCTTTGGGACGCTTGCTACTGTCCCCACGTGCAGGCCTCAGAGAGCAGGATTCCCCTTCAGGACACCCTTCCAGGTGCCTCCAATGCCCGGCCACCTCCCACCCCGCAGGTCTCCCAGGCGCTGATCCGCTCCTTCAGCTCCACAGCCCGGAACCGCTTAAAGAATCGAGTGCCCGAGAAACAGAAGCTCTTCCAGGTGGGCAGGGCGGGGGAGGACCCCGGGCGCCCGCCGGGAGCGCGCCGAGCCGGGGCAGGCCGGGCGCGCTGTGAGGAGCAGCCGGCACCCCTTTCTCATCAGATACCTCCACATCCAGGAGGACAATGGCATCCCGTTGTACCTGAAGGGCGGCGCCGTTGACAACATCCTGTACCGAGTGACCATGGGGCTGTGTCTGGGCGGTAAGTGCACTGCCCCGCCCGGCCCGAGCGGCGGGAGAGGCGGGGCTGGACCCAGGGGGGAGGCGGCGGACTTCCGGGCGGGACCAACCAGCATCTGGGCTGGGGGGTGGTGTTTAGGAAGGGGGTGGAGTGCTCAGCTGGAGTCGGGCCTGTAGGGAGCGGGCTACCTAGGACTTGGGCTTGCGTCCCAGGAGGGGAGCTGGGCTAGTGGTGGCGAGACTGAGGCCTAGGGAGGAGTTGGGGAGGAAGCTCCCAGCCTGGTGTAGATCAGCGCTAGGGGGCTTTGCACTAGGGAGTCCAATTTGGGAAGGGAGCTGGACCCCAAACTAGAGCTGGGGTCCAGGCTGGGAACTGGGGAGGCTGAAGAAGGCCGTAAAAGCCCGGGATGTTCTGGGAGGTGATTAGGGCTCATTCTGTCTCCCCTACTTCCCCTTTCCAGGCACTGCCTACGGCTTGTACTGCCTTGGCTGGGCCTCCTTCCCCCGCAATAAATGAGACCAAGAAGCCTGGGGGTCTGAGGAACTTGGACAAGTGTCAATAAACGCTGGTCTCTCTCTCTCTCTCTCTCTCTCTCTCTGTGTGTGTGTGTGTGTGTGTGTGTGTGTGTGTGTGCGCACCCGTCCCCGCCAAACCCAGCCTCCCACCAACCAGGGATCTCTGCCCTGGGGGCAGCCCACTACCCCCAGCCCTTGGTGCCTCACGCTTGACCAGGCTAGGATGTTGCCACCTCTTGGTCCTCTGCTGAGTACCCCAAACAACACCCACAGGCTGCCCCTCAGGACCCAGGGACATGGGGTGGTGTCCTCAAGTGGGAAGGAAGACACTGAGCATGGCTGATGATACAACAGAGGCAGAGGCCAAGTGTGGATGGAGAAGCTGCAAGAGAGGCAAACATGGCCTTGGGGAAGAGAGCCAGGGGTAGCACTGAGACCTCCCTCCAGCCCAGACTCTGGAAGCAGAAATCACCTGCACTTCTGAGTCCTGTCTCAGCCTCCACAGGATCTGAGAGGGATCAGCAAGAACAAGGCTACACCTCAGGATAAGAAAAAAAATGCAGACAAGAAAAAGACCAGGAGATCCATGAATCCAGCCCTGGGGACAAATCCACCACCTCCCCCACTCCCCAGGACCCAGAGCCTGAGCCACCCCTCCTCTCTCAGATCAGGAGGCAGATCCCACAGAGAGCAGCAACTGGGGTGCATTTATTTCCTCCTGGGCCTGGCAGGCTGGGAGCAGAATATAGACAAAGGCACTGGGGCACGTGGGCCTGGCATGGCCTGGAGCTTGGCTGCCTGGGTGGCAACTGTGAAGGGTGTGCCAGGGCGTGCAGGGACTCGAGTCGTCCTCCCAGAACTGGGAGAGGGCCCTTGGGGCATGGAAGCATCACAAGTGCTAGGCTTGGCACAGGAACACAGGAGAGGCTACAGAGCAGGTGTGCATGGGGCGTGGTGGGAGTGGGGAGACCCTTGGGCAGAGCTTGTTAGAGTATCCTAGAGCCAGGGGGAACTCAGGCAGGGCATGTTGGGCCCTGGATGTTGAGAAGTTGGGTAACAAGTATTGAGAGAACAAAAGCTTGTGGGTCAACAGGCCCCAAGAAGATGTGACTGTAGACCGGATTGGCCCTGGGAAAGACCAAGGCTCCAGGTGACTCCTACAGCGAGGTGGTGAAGGGGTGGGTCTGGGGGTCCCATTCAGGAATACATAGTCAGCTGCAGCCACTGGAGAGAGGAGGGCAGAGAATGAGGACAGGGAACACCAGAGCACCAGCCTGTCTGTCCTCACCCAGGGGCTGCTGGCAAAATAGGAGGGAGGGGACTGAAGCTCAGGACTGGTATGAAGGGCTGAGGGATGGGGTCCCCCCAGGCACCCACACCCCAAGATGGGGGTTCTTACCTCCTGGATGTTCACCTGGATTTGTCCAGTGCCATCTTTGTCAAGAGATTTGAAGGCGCCTGGAGGAGATGGGGAAGTTTGAAGGGTAGGGAAGAAAGGAGACTGGTTTTTAGCATAATAACATTACACAAGTATATGGGCTGACACTAATAGCAGCTGGCACTTCCTGAGTATTTGCTGCGTGCCCAGCACTGTGTAAAGTGCTTTGCAGGTATTAACTCATTTAATCCAACTCTGTGATATAAGTGTCATTTTAAAATGAGACACAGGCTGGGCGTGGTGGCTCACACCTCTAATCCCAACACTCTGGAAGGCCAAGATGGGAGGATCACTTGAGCCCAGGAGTTCAAGACCAACCTAGGCAACAGAGACCTCATTTCTGTTTTTTAAAAAACTAAAAAGTGGTTGGGCACAGTGGTTCACACCTGTAATCCTAGTACTTTGGGAGGCGAAGGCCAGAGGATCACGAGGTCAGGCGTTCAAGACCAGCCTGGCCAATATGGTGAAACCCCATCTCTACTAAAAATACAAAAATTAGCTGGGCATGGTGGCGTATGCCTGTAGTCCCAGTTACTCAGGAGGCTGAGGCAGGAGAATCGCTTGAACCTGGAAGCAGAGGTTGCAGTGAGCTGAGATTGCACCACTGCACTCCAGCCTGGGAAACAAAGCAAGATTCCATCTCAAAAATAAATATAAAAAGGAAAAGGAGAGAAAAAAAATGAGGGGGCCGTGCCCCAGGTCACATAGCAAGAAAGTGAAGAAATGAGGATTGGAATCCAAGCTGTTACCCTCCTCAATAATGGCCTCTGTGTACTGACATCACCTCTGCCCTGGCCCGGCCTCCTACTGACATCTCTGCTACTGGGAGGCTCTGCACACTCTACTTCCTGTCCCTAGCGTCTTGCAGGTCCCACTCCTGCCCTGAAACTTGACTCATGTTCCCCACCCACAGCGAATCTAGACAAGATGCCTATACCACTGTCTCTGCTCAGTTACCGGTGTCCACACACACAGTGTCCTGCACTCTCTTTTTTTTTTTTTTTTTGAGACAGAGTCCCACTCTGTC